TTGTTTTTCTCCGGTACCGGGAACCGAACTCACGACCTTGCGCTTGCCAGGCAGGCGCTTTTGCCGCTGAGCTAAATCCCCAGCCCCTCTACCCCATATTTTTTAAATAAATGTGTAAAAAATAGCACTCAGATGGTATAAAGACTAATTTAATTTTTGAGCCTCTGAAGTTATCCAATATGCTTTATTTTCAATGCCGTTTCTGACAGAGCTCAAATAACACAGAAAGGATAGTGATGTTACTACCTCTATTGTTTTATAAACTTTGTTCTTTAGTTGGTTTTTTAATTCACAGTAAAAACAAATAACTCCAGTTTCATGTCTGGTTTTAAAGAAAATCAATTACTCACAAGCTGTAAAGATGTCAAATGTTTTTTCCACCACAAATACTTCTGGTAGGTTGGCCCCATTGCACACAATCCATAGTAGGTATACATGACTACATGCACAGCTGTATTCACCATGGCATGGAATGTTCCCAAACCACCTGAAAGAAAATGTTGTAGCATGAGGGCATTGTTCCTTAATATCAGATGTATTTTTTGTCTGAACTGAGATTTCAGTATCATCACATTTCATGAATTTCAGTAAAAAGAAATAAAAACATATATGAAATATCAATTCTGCTAAATAGCTGTCGAACTAGAAGAAGCTGGGTAATATATGTAGTTAAAAATAAGACTCAAATTTTAGAAAATAAATTAGCATGTTTATTAGCTATATTTTACCATTAAGATAGCCTTATGATTTAGGTTTACTTTAACAAATTTAAATGAGATACTTCTTAAATATGATATATTGCTTATAATAATCAAAATAACTTTAGGAAGGTTAACCTATATAAAGTACATTAATCTTAAATGCACAATTCAAGATTTTCCACATATATTCATGATGCAACCACCATTAGGATTCAGATATAAAACATTCCTAAAATTCTCATGTGCCTCTTCTAAGAATATGCCCCTCCCAAGGTAAACTTTTAATCTTGCCCATTATTAAACTTCATTTAAGTGGAATTACACAGTGTACTTATTTGAGCCTATCTTCTTTCAATCAAAATATTTCTAAGACTCTTGCATGTTGGTACATGTATACTAATAATTTGATTTTTCCTACTGAACAGTATTACGGCATGAGTGCATCAGTATTTTTCCATTCTCGTGTTGAAAGACACTTGGGTTATCTTCAATGTAAGCTATTACAAATAAAGCTGCAAAGACTGGTGCATATCGCTGTGTGGCATCAGCTTCATTTTTCTCACTCTCAATACTGTATATTAAATATTTTTAATGCCATAAAATTTTGGTAGTAAAACCCAGGGCTTTCTCACTATAAGCTACACATTTATCAATTACTACTTTTCCAAAATAAATACTTATTAACTGAGAAACCACTCTAGTTAAGGCATTCATTTGATTATGTATTCATATCTTAGATTTTCTCTTCTAATTTCACCATCTTCAATTAAGAAAGAAGTAAAGAATACTTGAAAAGGTACAGAAAGATCATTTCAATTGTCTTTAGTATAACAGTAGTGAGTAAAAGGGGTAGCAGGGTATTTGGATGATACTGAGGGGGGCGGGTCCCAGAAACTCCTCCTTTGGATCTCTTCCCTTAGGGGAATAATCTAGAAGAATCCGTCCTTTTTTTGTTGTTGTTTTGTCTTGTTTTGTTTTGTTTTGTTTTGTTTTTTGAACAAGGTCTTGCTATGTTGTTTAGGTTGGACTCAAATGATCTTCCCACCTCAGCCTCCCAGGCAGCTGGAAGTATAGGGCATATGACCACACCAGTAGAAATCTGCCCTTTTCAAGTACAGTCTGTGTCAGTTTCACAGTGTTGACCTGTAATTTAAAATTTTGTCCAAAATACTCTATTATCTTAATTCTAGATTTCTTTCATCCTGGAAATAAAGCAAAACCTCACAAATTTAGATTGATTATGATAGAAGAAGGATTAAATCCATAAACACTATGAATTATAGAAAGTTTAAAGGAAAATATAAATTTACTATTTCTAAGATAGTCTTCTAAGGGAAAATGCCATAAAAGTGTTACAGAGAACAAATTAATTACTTTTTAATAATTATTTGCAATTGCAGTAATTCTCAATCTTTCTAGATACTATCACAGCTAAAGTACTCCCTTCAAATAACTTGTTTTAAATAGGTCTCTTTTTTTTTGAGACAGGGTCTCACTTTAGTGCAGGCTGGCTTTGAACTCATTACGTAGCCCATGCTAGCCTCAAACTCACAGAGATCCTCCAGCCTCAGCCTCCCCTGTTCTGGGGTTACAGGCATGTGCCACCACATCCAGCATTAAACACTTACTTCTAAGTAATTACTTCCCCAAAATCTCATTTATGTTATGCTTCTTAAACTTTCTACTCCTGAGTAGAGTACTTCAAATTTTAGCTAATCCCTTAAATATCACAAATTTAGGAAAGAACTGAATTAATGAAGCTTATTAACAAATTTGCAGCTTTTATTGTACAGTTGGGTTAATCATCTTTCCCAAGAGAAACTTGAATAAGTAAATCATAGTGCTATGAAAACACGTTTTTTAGGTTAATTTTATATTTTTAAATTTAATTTTAATACACAGTAGTTGTCTATTTCTGACAGTTGAGTCAAGCTGCTTCATAAAGGAATAAGTCAAATACCTCTCAAGTTCCTTTATGTCTCACGTACGTAAATAGGAATTCTGTTTTAGGCTTTCTAAGAAACTATATCACAGCCTGTCTCACTCAGACATTCTCCCATATTTGGCAGAACACTATCCATTTTCCATTTGGACACTTTTACCATTTACACTAATACAAGGATCCTGTGAAAGGAATTTAACAAAGTACTTAGTGTATCTGAGAGTTTTTAGTAAAGGTTACTCATCAAAATAAACTACCAAATAAAATTATTTTCCCTATGATTCCTTCCTGGTGTTATTTTAGTAAGTTTTTTTCACAGGACAACATTTTAGTTAGTAATGCTTTTTATTTTACTCTTTGGAAGGCTTTTCTAATGAAGTATTTTCTAAGTGTGCTTCCTTTACAATAATGGGTCTGAAAAGCAAACTGAATAAATAACAACTAATGGTATCACATTTTACTTCTTTGCCTTGGGAAAAATAAGGGAATAATACCAGTAATTAACATAATTCTCCATATGTATTTATATATTTTATAATATAAATATTTTTATATTTATATAAAATATATTAATATATTAATATATTATATATTTCTAAAATATTATATAGAAAACATTATATATATTTATAAAATATATATAAAAATATATAATCTTTTCATCAAATCCAAAAGAAAAGCTGGGTTGTTATTATCTCAGAGAAGGGTACATGAAGCAATCAGTAAAACAGGGATCAGCTATGTTCAAGTTTTGAAACGAACAACTTCAATCGAACAGCCTCATTCTAGGAATGGAAAGCAATACTGCATCACACTTGCGGTCAAAGCTCCTGGGAATGCTGAGAGAGTTCCCAGCAACTCCACACATGACACCGAGGAAGAATGGCATCGCTGGGTGCACAGGAGAGACAAGAAAACATTTTGACCTTGCACATTTTGTAAAGAAGAAGGTAGGTTAGGGTGTGGACAAGGAACCGATCACAAAATGAGTCATGGCCATAAACATGATAACATTGAAGCACTGAGGTACATCATGGTTACGTTTTCATTACTGAAAGTATTTCTTGTTCCTCAAATGGAAATTAGACTATCAATGCACTCAAACAGAAGTAAAACAAAAAAACACCACTCTATTGCTAAATGAAATTTATGTTTCCTATTGTAGAACTATCAAACTAAGAAAAAACACCTGGAAAGGAAAGAGACACACAAAGAAGAGGGGAACACGTTCTGTTTCAGGGTCTCCACATCACCTGTGTATTACTTTGGAGGACTGTGATTTTTCATTCTATTTTTATTTCTCTTTATTTCTTCAGTGTTGTAAAACACAGTTGGTCCTCAGTAAACAAAAAGAAACTGGTTGGAGGACTCCCTGTGGATACCAATCGCTGCATGCTCAAATTCCCTTCTATGAAATGGGGCAGTGTTTGCAAGTCATCTCTGGATTACTTGTGATATCAAGGAATGTAAATGCTATGTAAATCATTGTTCCAGTGCACAGTTTAGGAAATAAAGACAAGAAAAAAGTATATGAAAGTACCTTTACTAGTATTCTTTAAAAAATAAAGGTCATCTTTTCTGATAATTTAGAGTCAAACTGCTTAATGGAAAAGAACTAAGTGTCTCTCCATATCATTCTCACGATAATATACACACAAGAAACCATAACCACTCTATACGGCAATATTTAGCTATTTTTCCAGTTTTTCATCAACATGGTGTCGATATATTTCACAGATGAGTAACTGAGAGGCACAACATGCATGTGAGAGAAAACAAAAATAAGGAAGTAATGATAAGTAAAATAACGAAAACTAAGTATTATATAGCTATTGTGGATTTGTGAAATAGACACAGCTAAGACTATGAGTTAAATTTTGACATCAATACATATCATAGGAAAAAGGAGCTATATTTAGTTTTTCAAAAACTCCTCAACAGAAATGATAACTTGGGGCAAGAAGATGCTTTATAGAATAGAAAATCTAACATCTGCACATCCTAGTAGGGACAGCCTTACACCCAGCATTTCTCAGGCCCACATTCTGGTATCTCCTGCTTGCCACTGTCCCATTCATTCCCTCTCATGCTCCGCTACACACAGATTCCACCCCTCCTATTACCCTATGTCTACAGCATCTAAGACTCAAACAACAGTTCCTCAATTACAGTTCCTCTTTTCTTTCAGTCTAGCACATCCAGAATGTCTAATCAACGTAAGCTATTCATAAAGACGTTAAAGCACTGTTTAGTATGGACTACAGGCTTAAAGTTTTTTAAATTTAAGAGTCTAGAATAAACTTTCCAATTAAAGTTTGCAAAGATTAAGAATATGTCCTTCAGGGTATCACTCACCTAAAACATCAAGAAAAGAGAGGCATGACAAAATTACTGCCTGTTTTCTCCATTTCTTCATGTTCAGAAGCATAAAACCAGAATGAGATATGCAAAACAGGCTACTTATTAAACTATTTAAACTATCTTTAATGTAAAACACACTAGCAAAACATTATCTTTTACTATGGTAGAATGCTTTACAAAGTTGGGATCACCACAACCTGACACATCTTTTAAGGTTCATACACGAGAAGCTTGGTTCCAAACGTGATGGTACTGAAAGGTGGTAGGACCTGTAAGAGGGAAGGGACTGGGTTGTGATCATCCTCATGGAAGGATCAATGCCTCCTTCCTGGAGTGGAGCTGATTAGCTCTCACAGAAATGGATTAGCTGCCCGGATAATGAGATGTTACACAACAGCGGAGTCTCTCACTTCCTCAGTTGCATTAAGATCTCTCTTTACCCTGATGCCATTTGCAAATAAATCTCCTGTCTGTATAAATCAACCTGACTTAGGTATTTTGTCATGCCTATACAAATGGACTAAGATAGGGTGTGAGTTAAAAGGAACATGAAAGCAAGTAAGACATGGAATTTGAGATAAACATTTTCACTTCCTGGGAACTTATAAAGAAATATGATCTAACCAGACTCCTACAAAGCCAAAGTTTTTACCATTTTATGTATTAGTTTATTAATTATTTTGAAAGACACCTACTGGAGCTCTACAGGCAAAGAAAAACTCCAAACAAAACAAAAGAATATGTATAAAATACTGTGCCCAAAAGCTATATGTATAGGAGGGGTGCCCTAACAGTTTAGTGACACTTCAGGTAATAATCTGAAGTCAGAAGGTTAACCAAACTGATTCTTTGATTTTTTAAAAAAATTTTTTCTTATAAAATTTGATTGTTTATATCACATGATCCCAACTTTCCTTTGGCTACCTGCGGCAAATTTGACTCCAAACCACCAGGTCCATGGCATGATGGTATGATGGAAGACATGAAGGAAAGTCACCTGGTTATTCTTCTTACGCAGAACAAAAAAGATCTGAAATAACGTAAAGAAAATCAAGTTCATAAAAATCATGCAACAACTTACCGAACATTACAAAAATATTGGCAAAGAGCAAACTATTCTGCAGTACAATTTGCCTTGAAGGACTGCTTTACACAATGCTTACTTAGAGAGGTTGCTGATTCTCGAAGAGGCAGCTCAAAAGGTAACTAGTATGAAGAAACACAGGTATTATATCCAGTCAGGGGAGAGCCAATGTGAAGGTGAAAAGAAATTTCATGCAGATTTTAAAAGTGAAACTGCACAATGAAGAATTTGACACAAAATTATTGAAAGAAATAGTAATTATTAATTTTTTTCATTTAATAACCTACATTTTGAAGTATATAGGAAAGAGGAAGACTTTAATTTTTAGGACTAAATTATTTTATTCTACATTGCTCTCTACTCTATCCTATTCAATTTGGATAAGGAACTAGGTAATCCAAGAGAACTTGCAACAAATCAAAAAGTAGCACTTTTGTATTAAAGAAAGAAGAGAAAAATTTTGAGGTATTAATTTGGAAATTAGGATGGAAAGGAAAGCAAAGCTGCATAAGAAAATGAGCAGGGTGAGAAAAGTACCGCTCAGGCTGAACATCCCCTGGGGTTTACAGAAACCCTACAAATGACACAAGAGTTGAGTTGGGGATGGGGATGTTAAAAAGAATTCCAAAGCAAAATTCAGAATACCATTGCTGAAGTCTGACTTTTACATTTTGGACTAAACAGCATAACACTAAGAAAAGTACTACTGCAATGGAGTATTAGAGAAACGTAGCTCAGGAAGGACAAACAGGCAGCCACAGTGTTCTTAGGGAAGCTGGAACTGAGAACATGCAAAGCAGTTAGTGAGTCCAAAATGCATTTGCTTCTGCACACACACAGGAAGAACACAGCCTGGGCCATCAGCGAAACCCTAAATAACAATGCCTTCCTGCCTCTAGTTAGTAGCAGCCGTCCTCTGAGGAAGTCACTTATTTCCTAGTTCTAATGTTTCTCAGAGTGAGGGTTCTGCTCTGAATCAGTGGTTCCCTGCCCCTGTTGAACACTACAGCACCCAGGAAACTTGTGAAGAATAATCATCCTGGCCTCTACTCCAGCTCATTTGATACCAAATTACAGGAGGTGGAGCTCGCATGTGCTGACTGTGTTCCCAGGACCATTATTTCCACTACACTGAGAGACACAGACCATCAGCACTGGGGTTCTCAAAGTGTGGGTCCTGGATGAACAGCAGTAACATTACCTAAGAATTTGTTAGAAATGAAAATTCGTGAGCCCCACCCAAGACCTATCCCATCAGAAGTGCCAGGGGTGCGGGTCCAGGTATCTGTGGTTTAATGAGCCCTCTAAGTGATTCTAATGCATGCTAAGGTTTCAGTGTTCACTGAGGTCCCTTCCTATTCTAACATCATATGATTAGTCAACTGAGAAGATGAAGCACGTTGAGATTTCCTACAAGACATGTGATGATGTAGACCCCAGAGATGGGGCCGGGGATATAGCCCAGTGGCACAAGCGCCTGCCTGGCAAGCACAAGGTCTTGAGTTCGATTCCTGGTACCAAAAATAAATAAATAAATAAGATGTAGACCCCAGAGATAGAATGCATTTGTCAGTCTCAAACCAATACTAGCTCCAAACAACTAACATCTATTTGCCACAGGCACATAATAAATACTCAGCTTTTCTAAACTGGTTCATGGCTTTCTCCTCTCAGCACAGACTAAGCCCCGATGCTTGTTTCTCTCAGGCCCCATCACCCAAGTCCAAAGTGGATCCTCACCAAGATCTGAAGTAGGAAGAGCCAGGACCCAGTAAGCATAGATTTCAGACAGGCAGTTAAAATGATAATAATGCAGGGGTAACCACCTCCTAGCCTAAGTTTATGAATTTTAAAGCATTTATCTTCTAAAGGAGTATGGACAACACAATGCTTCGGTCTAAGAACCAAAGGTAAGATGGCCTCTGATCTTAGCTTCCTGAACTTGTTTCACAGAGCAACGGCATTCTTCTACATCAGATGTAATTTATCTGTGGTAGTTCTATGCTTATCTTAATCAGGTGGTAAGTATAAAAAACCTACCTTTTGGAGTTTGGAAAATGCTACATAATATGCTTCTCCTACTCTCTAAAATTACTTATAATAAAAGGCAAAAGAGATAATGGTAGGTTTGCTTGAGGAGTGATAATCAGTTATCAGAGAACAGAATATAGCAGTTTATTGCCTCCACTGAAACATCAAACATTTACTGAACATGGTGACCACATACTCACCGTGTCTAACAGCTCAATAAATTTGGAGAAGTAATAAAGCCAGCAGGTGTGTACCATCTACAGAAACACAGATAGATAAGAAATTATTTCATTCTACTTTTTAACACCAGAAAAGTTTGCTTTTTAAGAGTTTTGGGAAATGCATAACAAAATTTACCAACTTGACCCCTTTTTAATGTACAGGTCGGTGGCATTAATTATATTAATGCTGCTATGTAGTCATCACTACCATCTATCCATGGAACCCTTTTATCTTGCAAAATTAAAATTCTATCCATTCAAAAACTAACTCCGCATTCCCCCTCCACTCTACGCCTAGCCATCATTCTCATTTTTGTCTTATATACTTGGCTACCCTAGGTATATAAGCTAATTCATGCGATATCTGTCCTTTTCTGACTGTACTGTTTTAGTTAGCATTACTTTAAAATTCACATTGTAGCATAAGAATTTTCTTCTTTTTAAAGGCTGAGCAATACTCATTTCCCCCTCCCTCCCTCTCTACATAGACAGACACAGATGTATTTTATAACACATATATACATTTTGTTTATTCATTGACTCATCCACAGACACCTGAGTTGCTTCTACCTCTTGGTTAGTATAAATAATACTGCAAAGATCACAAGTGTACAAATATCTCTTTGAGTTGCTGCCTTTGATTCCCTTCGGAACTGCTAGATCTATGGTAATCCCATTTTTCAGGAACTTCACATTAACTTACTTTTAAATCCACAAAATTAAAAAAGAAAAGCACTCATTTTCATTTTCAGGAAACTACAACCTTTACTGATTCTTTCTTGTAATACTGAGCCCTCCTCATCTGTACAACTTGGATGAGTCATTTACTTACTGTCTTTCCCAGTTCTCACCCAACACTGCAAACAGAGTGCAAAGAGTTTCAACTTCACTTTTGAATTACAAGTCTTTCCAAAGAGAAACTTACCCTCATGGCTTTGGGTGACTGTGAATAGTCAACAATATCACATCCAAATGAATAACCTGTCCCCCAGCCAGACATCACAAACTGCAAGACAGTACATGCATATTAAAGAAGGAGCATTTGCTCTAGGCTACAACAAAGGTGATTTAGACTGCATCTACATGACACTGTCAGCCAAGTGAGCAGTCAGCGTAAAGGAAAAGGCGGCTGGCACAACCAGAAACTGAAAACATACTCGATAGGAAAGCTTGACACCAAAAACTTACAAATCCATAAACTCACATGTCATTTATATGAACTGTGTGCTGACTAATCAGTCATTTCTTGGGATGATTACTGTAACATAATGAAGAAAAAAAAAATCCCTGAGTATTTTGCTTAAACAGCAAATACTGGTATGCGTGTGTGTATTATATACATATATGTTTAGGGTTTGAATCAGCCTTTTCTGGCCAATTTCAAATCTTCATCAGCCACTGAATAAATAAAGTGAAATTCCTCGCTGTACTGATAAGGTATCTGTGGCAGTGGGGCTTTTCCTGTCTTTGGCTGGGGGGTGTGACGTGAAGTATTAGCCCACGGCTCTGTACTCTTTCCTCGTTTAAAATCAAGACTGACCACACACCAGACTTAGACCCTAGTTGTGCTTTGGATTCACAAAACAGAAAGGAAAATATTCTAACAATAGGAGTTCAATCTGGCAGGCCTTAATTCCAACACACCCACAAAGTGACCTTAAAATGGTGGTGAGAAGAAAAGCCTCTTGTTGATAAATCTGAATTGCTATTCAAAGATTATATTGATGTTCCTCTTTTACATATATGTAGACATTCTTTCAGTTTGATGGTAGATTCTTTTTTTTTTTTTTTTGAAAAAAAAAAAGCAGTGTTTGAAATGAAAAGAGAGCTTTAATTTTAAAGATTGCAATGTTAAACGGTTGGCTTAATTTAGGGTGCTGAGAAAATGATTCTCTCTAATCTTTTGTTTCACAAATCCTAGCATCTTCCCTGAAAATTCTTATTTCTCAGTAGAGTAGTGATAACATTTTCTGCCAATGAAGCAAATTTTAGTTATTTTTATTACTACTAAAGGTAAAACTAAAATTTTGCAATATATTAAATTTTTAAGACAAACTTGTCTTTCTCAAGTTCTAAAGACAGAATTTATTAGGTTCTATCAGGATATTTTAATGGTTAAAAAAAGAAACAAAGGAAAATACCATAAACTGTGGTACTTAAAAACATACTATACTATACATAGTAAACTCTACTGCTTCTAGTTCCTACTCTGAATTAGAAGACAATGTAATCACACAGTTAACTCAGTAAGTTAGGAAATACTTCAAACTAAGATGCAGGCAAGTATAAGATATACATTTATCACACAACAAGTCAAAAGATCTTTCCAAAGGAACAGGGAATATGACAAAAACAAATAGCAAGCTCTGTTCCACAAGATCCTGTTGTCAGTGAGTGTTATCATTTCTCTTGTGTTCAGACTCACTTTGAATGATGAAACAGTCAAAGCCCAGGCTATTTATTCAAACTGTGATGATTAATTCCCCACCCCACCCTAACCCAAACAAGGGCTGTATTGACAGACGTTGAGTGACTTGACCTTCTGTAAGGTCTTTCCTTGTCTCCCTTTATTAGTCTGACCAGTGCCAAGTATCTAGCACAATCAAAAATCACTGGAAGGCACGTGAGTTCCTTTTGTCTACATGTTTCTCTTTCACCTTATTCTTATTTGGCAGGACACCCTAGTGGAGCTCTTCACTGTACAATGAAACCAAGCTCCACACAATAAACCACACTTTTGTATGTGTCATCACCAAATAGAACACTGCCTGGCTGTTAAAAGTGTCTGTTTAAACCAAGGACAATGTAATGTTTTCCTGATGTTGAGTTCCAATAGTCTATGAAGCTTTTGACATACATGTGTATATTGCAGGATAACCAAAAAAAAAAGGGTAATAATTTTTGTTTGGAAGGTAATAAACCCTGAAACTGGCATATATGTGACAATATTCCTCCTGGTGGACTATTCAGTTCAGATTTGTCAAACCTTCTTTTACAGTGTAATTCATAAAGTAGGAACAAAAATTAACTGGTTAGAGTTGTAATCTCCTTAAGCTTGAGAAATATATGTATGTCATCACATTCAACAACACAATTAGACACAGTACCTAAGAATACCAGAGCATTCTGGGATGTGACAGGCAATTTGGCTCAAATTTGGCTTTATATAATAAGAGATATGAAGCCTAGAGAAGTTAAGTGACTTGTTCAAAATCAAGCAATTAGTAACAGAACCAGGACTCACTTAGTCACTAAATAAACAAAGTAAAATTCCTCAATGCACTGTTAAGGTAGCTGGGGCAGTGTCCTGGTCTTAGTCCTGGTCTCCTGGCTTCCAAGTATGCTCCTAATGTTATCTAACATGAGACATCCTATATCTAAAAACATGCTAACAACCTATATTTTCTTTCTTCCCTTCCCAACTCTAGTGCTCTTTCCTGTTCAGTTGCTCATATTCTAGAAAGGACAGTAGTGGGGTCTGAGAGTTAATTTTAGAAATAAAGTAGAAGCAATGGAAAGCAGCAGAGTGAGTCTAGACTTAGGGAAGGCCTGTGGGAAATAAGGCCAGAGTAGCTTTCACCAACAGACACAATCGTGTGAATTTGCAGCTAGAATTGGACTTGGCAGATACATGTGGAGAGGCCTGGTTGTCAGGAGAGGCCAGCAGGCTGCAGTGGGTCATCCTGAGCCAAAAGTATGACTAAGCACAAGCTCTGATAGGAAGTGAAATAAAAAGAGGAGGAGGAAACCAGCCCGTGTCGGAAAAGCATCAAAGAAACCCCGAGAAGTAGATGTGTGAGGGTGACTGAAACATATTAATAGCAGAGGGCAAAAGCAAGAGTGCAGGAATCTACTTTTGGGTCCTGGAACATCCTCATATCCCTTAACTACAAGGAACAGGCTCACTCACCTACTGCTTTGTGTGAATCTGTGTTCTCTTTCCTCTCAAAGCCCAACTCAAGCAATCCCAAACAGTCCCCTGTTGTGTAGCTCTATCAGAGCACCCAGAAACCAAAAGTTCTCACCACGATGATGACGATTCAGCAGAGACAGGATGAACGCTGATGACAGGTGGACCTGCATTCCAATACAGTCCCCCACAGACAAGACATGTTACTTTGTAATTTCTCTGAGGGTGAGTTCCCTCAAAACTAATATTTATGCATTCAGTCATCCATTAAGATAACTATGTGCAAGTTCATGGAACAGATGTTAATTTTTCTCGTTACCTGTGAAATATGCTGAGATTTTCTATGGAGTTTTTATTTTACCTAGACATAACTTTGATGTTATTGTTAAATGCCTGCTCCTATTCTAGAAAGGACACTGAACTCAGAATTTCTTAATTCTCAAAAAGTTACACTATAATCGTAATGACAAAAACATAATGACACAAGCAGAAAGTCTTGGGCAAAATTCTCCCAATAAGAATACCGAAGACACTTGCCTCATAACACATATACACAGAAAAGAGTACTACGGAAAAATTGTACGTTATCATCACTTTCTTGAGTTCAAAAGGTTTTCGATTCTCCATGAGCTTTGGTCCCAAAGACGTGACAAAATAAACATAGAGTCCCAAGATGATGGTTTGTGGCAGAGGTGAGGACATGAGGAATAAATCTTCAACTCTCGGATCTAAGAGAAAAATAACATGTAAGTGTACACTCACTTAGCCAAAAAGCAACTGACAGCAACCAACATTGCTCTATGAGGGCACCTAGATTCTAGTGATGACAGTGGACAATCTAGACAATGATCACTAATATCTTTTAAAAGAGTGACTAGTACCATTTGGAAGGTGGAAATCACCAGAGATAGAGAAGCACTTCTGGACTAGAAACATGGGGCTACCACCCCGCTTGGCCTCACAGGACAAGCTTAGCAGTTACCAGAACTTGGAAGGAGAGAGTTATAGGGAAAAGATTCTTCTGGAAAAGAACCGTATTATGCTTGTGTCCTCCCCAAATCCATATGTTGAAATTGTAATCCCCCAGGGTGATGGAACTAAGAGGAGGGCTTTTAGGAGGCTAGAAATTTCCTAAATGAGATTGGTGCCATTATAAAAATGGACCCCAGGATATATTCCTGCCCTCTTTCTGCCATGTGAGGACACAATGCAACAGAGAGCAAACTGACTGAAGGCCCTCACCAGAATCTGACCATGCTGGCATCCTGATCTAGGACTCCTAGCCTCCAGAATTGTAAGAAATAAATTTTTCTTTTTTACAAGTCACCCAGTCTATGGTAATTTGTTATAGCTTCCTGAATGGACTAAGACGAGCTGTAACTGTTAGATAAGGGATTCGGCCAGCCCAAGACAATTCTGCAAAAGGGGAACCAGAAGAATACACACCCCAGATCCACCCTCCTCCCTTTCTCCAATCCCCTGGAGTTCTCCACAGGCTTAACAGGAACTAGTGAACAGGGAAGCAAGTTAGCCAGGGATACAGTCCTGTTGGTCACTTTCCTGGGTCCAGCATAGGATGAAAAGTACATCTGTAGATGACACTCAGTAATAGTCCATCATCTATCTATAACCACTATTAACATAGAAAATTTCCATCCATCCATTCTTGATATATACAAATATTCTTGTATTTGGCTTCTAAGGTTGCTTCTTTCCTTTAAAAATTGATACACTTCCACATATATTGCATCAGAGAATCATGGAAATAAAAGATACCTTAGCATCCTCCATGTATTTAAAGTGTAGGTTCTAGGTGTCCAAAAGTGAACTAGCCTGATATTTTAAGAAAAAGTAATTGCATTAGCCTCATAACTCTGTACAGAGTAATCCCTCCAGTCCCTCCCAGTCTCAGCCGAGCTCATAGAGACAGATCAATTAAATGTTGCAACTCAAGATGAAATGTGAGTAATTCCTTTGTATTTGTTTTTAATTTTTACCAGTAGATGATCGCAATACATGATTACATTCATTGTGGGGAGTCAGCGCATGTATATAATGCATTTTACTTTTAAGTTGTTCAGGTGTAATTTCATTAAATGGTCTCATGAAGACAGAGTATTTGAAGGAAAATAAGTACAGACAAGTTTCTCAGGATGCTAAAAATCATCACTCTTATGATTGGAAAAGAAGGTTAGGGGAGCGTAGTGCTTGCTCATTCAGATCGCTAGTGATGAAGCCAATTACCAACACACGGAACCCCTCCTACACACTTGTCTTCCCACACAAAATCTTTTCAGTAGAATTTTATGGTTGATGCTCTTGGTCTCTTTTAGTGCTAGAAGGCTGATACTTGACAGGTCAATGTGCCTGGCTTTAACTAATTCTGGGACTTCCAGCCTCCAGAACTGTAAGAAATAAATTTTTCTTTTTTACAAGTCACCCAGTCTTTTAACTAATAAAGATTTATTTCTGCATTCAGGCAAGCCTCCCTCCAAAAATATGGACACATGCTCCAGACTCTAAACAATATAAGCCAAACAGCCAAAAGTCAGGTCTGAAATAGATTTCACTTTATTTAAGCATTAAATATACAATTAAGGGACCCAAGTAAACAAGTAGGAAAGGGAGAGATTATTCAACAGATACTAGCAAGAAACTGACTTTAGAGAGAAAGTTTGTTCTTTGTCTTGTATCCCACACAGCATTGCCTTAAACTGTGCAGTGCATGTGAGGTAGTTAAAGCTCTTCCACAAAAAAATGGGGATGGACCCTGGAGGGCTGCGTTAGACAAACAGACTGCGTGTTGCAAAATTTCTTAGTGCTTTATAAAATTCCTCAGTGCTTCATGTTGTGACTAACAAGACAGAAATGGTGGTATGTGATCTTCTCCCAACTTTGGACCATGGAATCCTGATGTTTTTTGCAGAAGACCTTTAATATGTTCATGATGGGGCCATGATGTCTCATTGTTGGGTGGTTTGTGCTACGGGTAGCACATGCACAACTGTCCCATTTTTTATTAATTTTATTGGTAAAAAAAACAATAAAAGTGAGTAGATCATTCTGTACTATCAGCGGCAGAAGCCACCCAATGGGACAGTCATGTATATACCACTGTTGGTTCAAGCTGGCAGGAATGTGTTAACATCTTAGATAACTAATGGTCTATGGACCAGAGTATGGAAAATATAGCCAGTTGCTAAAATAAATTTAAAAACTAATCATTAAATAGTGACAGGAAAAGAATAGGAGCATTTATTTTGAGATGTAGTAAGGAATAAGAAAAATAAATTTTTATTGACTGTTTCAACATGGAGAATGAAACATAGGTCAAAGTTTAAAAATATACTCCAATTTTTATTAGATAAATATACCATCATTTAGACCGAGAATAGAGAGTAAGGTACAAGACTGGTCAGGTAAAGATGGCTTACGTTTTGGACCATTTTACATTTACGGTTTCTGTATAATATTCACATGGAGATGTCCACAGGTAGTTAGATATATGCACCTGGAATTAGAAACAAGATCTAGGCTAGAGATGAGAGGTTTGAGGTTCGTTATCACATTGATGATGAAAAGAAAAACAAGGAGATAGACTTAGGAAACCCAGGTAGGGTAAGGAGAGAAAGTGCAAAAGTCAGAACCCTAAAGATCCAACATGCATGAGAGAAGTAGAAAACAATGAAGATATCTGAGGAGGAGGCTGGAGAGGAGGAAGGAAAACCACAAAACCACAACAATGAGATACCCTGAAGTCAAGGGAAGAGTGAACTTTTAGAAGCAGTCCAAGAATCAAGTGTAGCTGAGGGGAAAAAAAAATGTGTAGTGAAAAATTCCATTAGATTTAACAAAAAAGAAGTCAGTAACGCTCTTAGAAAAAAAGCAATTTTCATAAATTACCATTTGCAAAATAGAAATTCAACAAAAGTTTACAAACACTCTTAAGAAACACACAGTTCTAAAATTCAAAAGTTATTTTTCACATTAAGGTTAGTCATAATTCTAAACCAGGAAGGGCTTTAAAATCAGCTATCCTAGTATAGATCTGAACACATTCATTCTTTCACTGACACCCTTCTTTCCTTATAGCAATGGCAAGTTTCCTGGGATATATGGTTGCCATGTGCATTTAAAACGCGCATAAGAAACTCTTGCTGCAGACTTACATAATAAAGGATCTTAGTAAATAAAAGTTGTCACAGCACTGGGGACCAAAGGATAGAATCAGAACTAATCAGTCCCTGATGAATTTCTTCTATCTGTGCATCACACAAACCTTAAGTACATACACTATACTATGTCTATTTTTTACTCTTAATGAGATAAAGACTAATGAAAGTTATGCCAGAAGGTCTCCAGAAGGATGTTAACATCACTAACTTTGCATCCTTTATAAGCAATTTAAAATGTTTCTGTCATTAATAGTCCTTTCTATATGGTTTAAAAACAGTTATTTTTCAGGGTTAAAAAAAATTCCTTAATTAGAGAGTTATTGTTTCATAGACTCAGCAGGGGAGGGGAATCAAATGATATCATCTTTCTCAGCTTTCTTTGATAGTAACAGAAAGAAAACAAGCCAGGAAAAGCATGCTGGGCTGCATCAAGAAGCAAAAGAATTTCAAAAGAAGTCACTTTTTCCCTGTGATTTCATATTTCCAGCATATGCCTTTTCTTAAGATTCAGTGAATGACTTTTAAGATCTACAGATAAAAATATAATTATTTGGAAAGGCTGGTTAATATTAACTGAATGCTATTTTCATAGTAAAACAAAATACCCAGCTTTTTAAATCTTACTTCAGCAAAACTCTGGAGCCAGAGTCTGAGTTGTGACCTTGGCTCTTCCCCTAGCTTATATGTGACCTTCAGCAACTGTCTTTATTTTGAGATACTGCACTTAGTTTCCTCATCTGTGATATCTGTATAAAACAATATGCACTTCACAAAGGATTACATGAGTTACATGCAAACAGAATAGGTGCTCAGGAAGCTTGAGGAAGGTTGTGCCAGTTGGTCTCAACTGTTGCTCGAATTGGTCTCAACCCTGCCAGCACAGCAGAATCATAGCCAGAATGTTTCAAAGTCAAGAGGCAAAAATGGCATCTAAATTTTTAAAAACTCTGCAGTAAGAAAATGGACAAAGAACTTAAGAAGCGATTTTTCAAAAGAAGACATACAAATGGCCAAGACACATACAAAAAATGCTCAACATCACTAATCCCTCAGGAAATGCAAATCAAAGGTATAATGAGCTATCACCTCACACTTGTCAAATGGCTACTATCAAAAGGATGAAAAATACTAAGAGCTGGAGAAGATGGGAAAAGAAAGGAAGCCTTCTACAGTTGTGGTGGAAATGTAGATGAGTATGGCCATTTTAGAAAAATGTATGGAGGTTCCACAGAACTGTGTCTATTGGCCCAGCTACTGTGGAGGCTGAGGCAGAAGGATCATAAGTTTAAGGCCAGCCAGGGTAATTTAGCAAGATCCCATCTCAGAATAAAATTTAAAAGGGGAAAGGATATAGCTCAGTGGTAGAGTGCTGGCCTGACAAACCTGAGATAGTGGATTCAATATCTAGTAAAGGAGGGAACAAAAGGAGCTCCTGTCATTTGCAACCAAATGGATGAACAGGGAAGACATTATGACAATATTAAACTAAAGCGAATAAGCCAGACACAGAAAGACACATCATATGATCTCACTTATATGCAAAATCTAAAACAATAGAACTCCCTGAAGCAGAATATAAAGGTGGCTGCAGAGGCAGATAGGAGAATGGAAAGGAGGAGACGCTGGTCAAAGGACACCAAGTTTCAGATAGGAGGAATATGTTTTTTGAGATTTATTGCATGACATGGTAACTACTCTTAATCGTGTATGTATAAGATGGCTAGCAATGCAAATTTCAGACATTCTTATCACAAAAAAGGTATGAAATGACAGGCATGTCAACTAGCTTAATTTAATCATTCCACAATGTATACATCGATCAAATCATCTCTTTATACTCCATGGATATGATAATGATTTGTCAACATACAATTTTTTTCTAGCTGCTGAGATGACCCGATGACCTATTAAGGTTAACAAGCAGGGCTTTGGTGTGTGGCCAAGTTCCCTTCACCTGTATTCAAGGCTGCTGGAATCTTCACTAGATGCTCTGCAATAGTCTTTTATCTGCTTCTCCCCCACCTCTTGATCCAATCTATATTAGCTCTGCCTCACTGAGCCAGTAAAATTCAAAGCTTTAGCATGATGTTTGAGACTGGGGCTGTTGCTCGCTTTTCTTGCCTTCTGTCTCCGCAGCAGTTACACCTGTCTGAAAAGAGCATCCACTTCCATGTGAGGTAGCAGACTTCCCTCCATGAGCTGCCTGCTGCAGACAATGACTGGACATGGGGATCACAGAGTGAACGGTTCCATGACACTGAAAGTCTGCTCTTATTCATTTTGTAAATCCACAAATCACATTAGTTCAGAGATGAGTGCTCTCTGTGTTCCCCAGAGATGATGGGCTAATGAGGGAGGGAGAGCTTCATGTATCTTCTATTTGGTATCCAAAGTGGTTTAAGTGCCTAAGTGGAGCCAAGGTGAAAGCAGAGGATGGGAAGGCAGGCTGAGAGTCTGCACCCCTGGGATTACCAAAATTCTGATTTATCATTAGCTTAATAATTCTTTACTAGGAGTTCCCCAGGAGAGCATAGGGGAAGTACAATGCTGCATATATATAGAATATTAATGAGCATTTCCATCAACTACTAAGAAGACAGTGTTCTCTTCTTAAGTAGCATGTACTAGATCAGAGAGTACACCCTTTAAGATTCCAAGCACCACTAAAATGAAGAAGCTGGAAGGAAAAGGAAATTGCAAGCACCTTTTGAACCATTAAATGTTCAAAATGGCATGTTCTACTGTCTTCTAAGGAAAGATAGCAACTAAGTCTGGAAAGCCATTACTATTGTCCGAATACAAAGAGTTGCTTTCTTTTTATTACTACGTGTTTGAAGTTTATGCAGTTTACAGTCATCTTGGGAAATGCTTCCTTATGAATACCACAGTGCATACACACACACACACACACACACACACATATATCTATATCTATATCTATCTATCTATCTATATATATATATATATATTTATGAGAGAGAAAGAAACAGAGAAAAAATTGCTTTTAATCTTCAGAAAGTTTTTCAGTTCCCCGTAGTCCAAAACACTACTATAGCATTATTTCAAAATCTGGTATTTCATATCTGTGAATCATAATAAATGTTCTTATATCTTAAGTATTAATTAAGCCATTTTTCCATGTTTCTAGTCATGAAATTTTCCACATGAGATAAACTATGCATGCCCCCACTTCTCCAGCAATCAGAAAATCAGTGAGGAGCTTTCCCAGGGCAGTTCAAGATTAGAGCCAAAGCCAAGAATACCCTTGAAATGCTTGGCCCTTGATCATGGGTTTAGACCTTCCCAGGAGAAGAAAAGCAAAATTGGACCAAAAGGTCCAGAAAAGATTACTAATGACTCTCAGAGACCAAAACCACACTAGTTACAAGGAAATAACTCTCCTGTTATACCCTGTTGGGTTTTCATAAAGTTGTAAATCTCAACATAAAATCCACATAAGCCTGCTAGATCACAAAATTTAAAAATGTAAAGAAAAGAGTTTAAATGATATGTTACATTAAAAGTATTTAAAGATGAAATCCTCTATCATCTGTGACAATCACCACTACATTTGTGTTGGGACTCTTCCCAAATTAACAGAGTACTTTCTGCATATTTCTATTCTCATTTTGTTTTGCTAACAAAGAGACTGAGACTCACAGACTATACACAATTTGCTCAAGGTCCCCTAGTTAGTCTACAGTACTGCAGGACCCTAAATTTAACTCTTCTTCCACACTGCTATGCCCCATGCCTTCTGCCAAGATTACAGTCAGCATAACCTCAGACCTGCAGTGCCCCCTTTCCTCCTGGTCTCTCTGTGTGGCACATCTTCGCTGCCCTATTTGCAATGGTTTCCAGGACTCTGCTCTGGATCTTAAGCACCTCACACTCCTTGCGTTCCTATCTCTGATCTAGGATTATTCAGCTTTTCAATCAAAGCATTCCTAATGAAAAATAAAAAGTTCATCTATGGTTAAAAGTGCAAGAGGGATTCTGAAGTAGTACATATTAGATTTTGTACTTCTGGGGCAATGTTAATAATCACCATCATCTAAGTCTATCTGGCTCTTGAGTGAGGACACTGATTACCTAAATTGCTTGTGTTCCTGCATTTGGGACAGTGAATAGCAAGATGTGGATTACAACGGATCTGTTCTTTCAAATAGCTCTATTTTTAAAACTACCCAAATCTGTCTGGCTCCCATGTTCAAATAGAGTTCAGTGGGAAAGATATACATTTACTTTCAAATTCAGTTTTTAAATTCAGTAATTAATATATGAGTACTTACATACTGAATTTATGAGGACTCCTATAAACCTTTAGAGGAAGATGACTGCTAAAGAAATCTACGTAGTTTCTATATTATTATATAAGTTGAAAAATTCAAGAAAAAAAATAAAGTAATATGGAAAAAGTCACTTTCTCTCCCTACCAGAGTAAATCTTATTTATGGGATACTAAAAAAGGTCCTTGGCAATTGTCAAGGGAAAAACTATAGGGACCCAGCTTAGTGCAATAAAATTGGTCTTTAGCAGTCTCCTGAGAAGAATGTCAAACTTGAAACAGGGTGTCTTTGCAGAAATCACTGTAAATTGAAACATAATTTAATTGTGAGATGATAAGAAGTGGCATTTTTTCCACCTGAATTTGGGAGACATTAGATTATGGTTGATGTGTATGAAACAATCTAAAATGGTGAAGATGGGGCTGGGGATTTAGCTCAGTGGCACAGTGCCTGCCCGGCAAGCGCAAGGTCGTGGGTTCAGTTCCCGGTACCGGAAACCCCCCCCCCAAAAAAATAAAATAAAATAAAATGGTGAAGATGGTGGTGAGTATGTATAACTCAAAAATATATATTAAATCCAGAATACTAATTATAATAAGAAAACACCTAGAAACCATGGGAAGTCAAACCCTGAGTCCAAATTTCTTTACTATAAAGTGAGATATTACTTTCAATGATATCTAAGGTCCACGTAAGCTCTAAATATGGTCAGGTTCCTGTCTATTTAAAAATATTTTTATCTGTGTTCTATGTTTAAAACCTTAAAGAGTTATAAAAGCAATACATGCTGGCTGTGGCTTATGAAAATACAGATGATACATAAGTAAATAAAATTACTGAGAGTGTAGCTTGTGCTTAGCATGTACAAGGCCCTGGGCTCAAATTCCAGGACTCAGAGAAAACAACAACACACTAAAAATCAAAACAAAGCAAAACAAATAACACAGGGACACTCACAACAAACAAACAAATCAGCCTAATTTATCACCCAGAAATAACTGGCAACCTCCACAGAAGAAATACATATAATGCTTTATAACCTGCTTTCCTTGGACATATTTTAAATTTCTTGGTATAGCATTAAATGTTCTTCTAAAACACTGATACTTTAATGGGCAAGGCAAAGAGGCAGGCATCTTAGAATCACTCAGGGGTGTTCCAGAAAACACTCTGCTCTTCCTGAGATCCCTCTGGGGGCCGCAGCTCTCCCAAGCAAGAATCACTGTGGACAAACTGTGATTGGCAGTAACCCTAATTTCCCTTAGGAGCATTATAACAAAATCAACCCAAAAAGCACTGCTGCTGCTGAAGCACTTGTAATGGTTATGAAGTTGGAATGCTCCATTGCTTCTTAACCAATCTCCTTCACTGCATAGTTAGGCTATTTTCACTATAAAAATATTATAATAAATATCTGTGTAGTTCTATGTATGTACATCTGTACTGAAGCCTTTGTAAACTAGTAAGAGAGCAGAATGAAGTTGCAAAGTGTCTCATTCTGCTTAAATGAAATCTTCTTCTTGTGGGAATTTGACATAAAGAGGAAAGACGAGTCTTGATTAAGAAATTTGGTTACTCACCAGCATCTTTGATCCAATTATCATAAAAACGCACAGTCCTCGATGTAAGATCACTAAAGGCCATTTTCCACAAGATTTATTGGTTCTTCTAATGGATTCTTCCGTAAAACAATACAGAAAGGAACTTATGATCTATAAATGCAAATGAAGACAACCTTTTAGTAATACAATATTTAAAATGCTAAAAATTTAATAGGAAAAACTGGCACAGCAAGAAACTTCTACTGAAGGTAAACACTTCAGTGAACTATATTAAAAACAGATGCTGTTGCAAACATTTCAGACTCTCCACCTTACAGGGACATTGCTAACTTCACTAGAAAAATGACATTCTATATACAAGATACAAAAGGATTAAATGATTCTAAAAAAGACAGAGGAGTATCCCCTTTTTATGGAATGGACTCCATCTACCACGGCAATGCTGAAGGAAAAACCCAGGAGAAGATGATTTAAAAGTACGCAAACTTCAGAGAAGGTACAATGCTCCTAGACTTGGAGTTCATTTTCAGGCCCACTAAGGCCTTCTATGTGCAAGTAGAACAGAGGCAGAAAGAAAACCAGAACAACCCACAAGAGCCAAGCAGAACCTGCTTAGTTTGTGTGGACAGGCTGTCAAGAATAACTGGAAAAAGGAGTCTTCTCTGAAAGATGACCAGGGAGGAGAGACCTTTATACATTCAAAGATGTTACAAATCTTCAATAATTAAAACAGTGCTGCATTAGCATGTGAAAAGACAAATGATGAGAACAGAATAGCCAGAAATATACCAATACATCTGGGAATTTGACAGTGCATTCTAGTAATTCTAACATGTGTGCTTTCCCACTCTTTCACATCTCTGCAACCAGGGCCCACAGGACCAATGGATGGGGTAGAGTAAATTAATAGGGTATTGGATTCAAATCTACATGGGACGATGAAAAACTTGTAGAGATGGATGTGATAAAGGCTATACAACAATGTAAAAGTGCTTAATGCCACTAGGTTATACATTTAAAATGGTTTAAAGACGGGTACATTTTATCATAATTTGAACACCTAGGTTTGCCACAGGAAAAACTGTAACTTTCCTCTAGCATTGTAAAATAAAAGCAGTTTATTTATATAAGTAAATAAGTAAGATATATGGTACATGATAACAGTAGCATCTCACTTCAGCAAGCACTGAGTTGTTCGTAGTTATTCAATCAACAGTGTAGCACAACTTGACAGACATCTGAGGAAAAAAAGTTGAATCTAATCATTATATCATAAGCAAGATGACCACCATATAGACAAACAATTTCAATTTAAAAAATACAACAAATATTGGATGACAACATGCTGGAACAGTTTTATAACCATGCTGTAGGAAAAGCCTTTCTAACTGTGAATCAAAGTTTAGAAGACGAAAGAAGTTAAGAACCGTAAGAATGTCGAGAAGAAATGCAGAAGTGTTGCTGGGACAGAGAGCAAGAGCACTATGGAGAACAACAGGAAAAGGCAACCAAGGGTGGCTCCTGAGAAGGCACGTGGGGCCAGCAGAGCCAGCACAGAACAGGCGCCGGGGTTGGGGGCATGGGAAGAACCCTCTGCACTCCTGGGTAAAGGTCCTACAGTCTTGGAGTTTGACTTAGGAAAATCAGAAGTCAGATGGAATCTTAATCCCTATTGCTAGAGAAGAAAATACCTTAAGAATCCCAAGACTGCCAGGCAAATTTCAGCCTCACTGTGGATCTGTGTGCTTCCTGGTATCCACACTCCATGGGTTTCTACCTGGACCTCATTCCCCCTCCCACCCCACCCTGGCCATTTAAGCAGAAACAAAATCCCAAAGAGGTCTTAAGTGCTAGACAAAAATTTTGATGTTTGATTCATTTCTTCCCAATGACTTAGTAAGAACAGAAACTTTAATGTATAATAAAGTGTGAGTAAAATAACAATTTGTTTAAAACAGGATTTCTTTATCTTCACAGTACTGACATTTTGGGCCAGATGATTTATGTTTGTGCAGATCTGTCCTGAACATTGTATAATGTCTAGAACCAACCCTGACTTCTATTCACTAGAAGTCAGGAACTCATCCTCACTCATTGAGACAAAACTGCCAAATCCCTGGATGGCAAAACTGTCCCAGATGGTGAACCACTGTTTAAAGAAATCCAGCAGTGTGTATTCATCCAAATTGAAGTAGTTTGGGGGCTGGGAATTTAGCTCAGTGGCACAGCGCCTGCCTGGCAAGCGCAAGGTCGTGAGTTCAGTTCCCGGTACCAGAAAAACAAACAAAACAAACAAACAAACAAACAAAACCAAATAGAAGTAGTTTGCCTCCGAGTAATTGCTTTAGCATTTGTGTACTTATTCAGTGATGCCATTTTTCAAAACAACTTTTTAGCTTTTTTGTATAAACTGATTTCCAAGACTTTTAGAATTTCATTTAAATAACTTTATGGGAGAAAAATCTTTGTCAATTGTCTGCAAAAATCAAGTTCATGTAAACTATTAAAACCACTATGGAAATCAATATGGAGATTCCTCAAAAAACTAAAAGTAAAAATTCCATTTGGGTCAGCTAGTCCTCTTCTAGGTATCATTCTGAACACGTTAAAGGTATCACATTACAGTGATACATGCATATCCATGTTTATAGCTGCACAGTTCATAATAGCTAAATCTTGGAAGCAGCCTGTATGTGTATCAACAGATGAGTGGATTCAAAAAATGTAGTGTTCGTACACAGTGGAGCACTACTCTGCCATAAAGAAAGACAAACTTGAGTCATTTGTAGGAAAATGGATGCACCTTGATATCATAATGTGAAGTGAAAGAAATCAGACACATGAGCTTAAATACTGTATGGTTTCTCCTATATGAGAAATCCAAAGTATAAATAAAGAGCAAAATAAAAGACAGATGATAGGAAATGGGAGACAGATCTTTGTCAAATCAGAAGGGGACCAAGAGATGGAATGAGAAGTGAGAAATGAGATTAAAAAATGAACTAAGATGTGTTATCTTCAACGATGTTGCTCAGTCCACCAGACATAAGAATGTAAGAGTGATCAAACCATCAAAGACAGTAACAAGTAATTTTAAAAAACACTGGAAATGATGCAGAGCTTCACCATACAAGATGGTAGGTATTCAACAATGGTTCTTATACTGCATATTGTTGTTTTCAGATCAGTCATTCTGATTACCAGATTCAAGTGTGGCAAATTGGTCAAGAAAAAAGAAAATTTTAAGCATTGTCTGTTCCTTTCAATAAACCACAGACATCAGCAATACACCTATTCCAGCAAGTAACAAATTTTCAAGTTTGTTAACAATTGCTATATATGTGCATATTTGTGTGCTGATTATATACATGTATATATACACATATATATATATATATATAATATTTACCTTACACACATTACAGAAGCAAGGATACATGTCCATTCACCTACCACGCAGGAGTGCATGTTTTATTTGATGTCATATCAACTTGAATTTCTCCCTGGTGTTTCTTTCATCACCTTCTTCCCTTTTTGCCATTTCTTTCTAATAGATTGGCTGTGCTCATTGTCTTGGGAATCAAACAGAATAGCAGAAAGCAAATAAACAGAAAGATTTATCGTAGCTTTTGGATTAGAAAAGTTTATGCACTTAGTCATACAGAAGAATTCAGGGCAAAAACAAGAGGTTTCATGTCTCCTAAAACAGAAACACATGTTTTAGGCTCAGAGCAGGGAAAGTTAGAAGGAAAGCCCTTGGTGCAGACCCCAGACAGAGAGGGAATAAGCCCTGAGCAGGCACAAGATAGGAGGATAGGGACTGGTAGTATGAAGGATCAGGCCTTGCTGCCTGGGGGTAACCTGGGGCAGGTAGTTGATAAGGCTCTGGACAGCCATAGAGAATTGCTTTATTTTGTTTTCATCCCAGTGGAGAGCAAGGGCAGCAGAAAGACTTTTGAGTGCCCTCACAATAGGCATGGAAGTATTGCAGAAAATCTGTAAAAAGCAAAGGAATCTTACAGAACACTACAACACATCTCTTCACACAGATGCAGGGACAAGTAGCTAAAGATCTAATCAGATGCTGGATATTCAGGGGACAGCAATGTAGTCAGAGAACACGGATGACTTAAAGGCTTTCCTCCCAATTAAATTGATACAACAGGGCCGGGAATATAGGTTAGCGGCACAAGCACCTGCCTGGCAAGTTCAAGGTCCTGAGTTCGATTCCTGGTACCAATAAATAAATAAACAAACAAACAAATAAATAAATAAATTGACACAACATAAGTTTCCTGTAACTTGCTGGGGAATGGGGAGAAGGTATTCACAGATAAGAAGAGGTAAGTTTCTACCACCCCAAAAATAAAAATGATGTTCTTACATCAGACAAAATAGATATTACGTTAAAAGTAGTCAAAGAGACAAGGTCATTATGTAATGGCAAATGAGTCAATTCATAAAGAGGATGTAATGATTATACATGTATATGCACTTAATATCAGAGCACCTAACTGTATAGAGCAAGTATGAACAGATCTGAAGGGACAGACTACAATATGACAATTGGAGGGGACTATAATACCCCACTTTCAACAATTGATTAATATGAAAACATAAAATTTGAACTACACTTCACACTAAATGTACTTAGCAGACATATACAGAACATTCTAGCCAATGGCAGCAGGATACACATTCTTTTCAGGTGCACACAGAACAGAAAACTGGAAAATACATAAATATTTGGACAGTAAATAACATGTTCCTGAACAACTAATAGGAGAAAGAAGAAATCAAAAAGGAAACTTGAAAATATCTAGAGACAAATGTAGAAACACAACTTCCAAAGCATACAGAATATAGCAGTATTGAGGGAAGTTTAGAATAATAAGTGCCTGCATTAGAAAGAAAGAAAGATCTAAAATAAAAAATCTAACATTATACATTAAGGAACTAGAAAAAGAAAAGACACTAAATTCAAAGTTAGCAAAAGGGCAGGCGAGGGATGTAGTTCAGCGGCACAGCACCTGCTTGGCAAGTACAAGGTTCTGAGTTTGATTCCCAGAACCAAAAAAAAAAAACAAAAACAAAAACAAAAAACAAAGTCAGCAGAAGGAAGGAAATAACATAGACTACAGCAACAATAAATGAAATAGACTAGAGAAGCAAGAGTTTGTTTTTAATGAAAAGATAAAATTGACAAAATCTTTAGCTAGACTATGAAAAAGAGACTCAAAGAGAAAATATTACCATATATACCACGGAACTACAAAGAGGTTATATAAAGTTTTTCTCTATTCTGTATCTCTTAATGTCAGCGGTTCCCAGACCTGACTAAAAACTAGAATCACTCAGAGGGTGAGAACTGTATTGTTAGCATTTGGGTAAATTGTGAGTATGGGATATTTTTAACACTATATAAATCATCCTTATGACAATACCCACAATATATGGAATAGGAATGAAATACTTGATAGAGGACACAATTAGAGAAGGTCATCAAAACATAGTAAGACATCTAGATCAAGAAGAACAGGAAGAGAAAGCGTAACTAATACCGAAAAAGATTGTACTGATGATTCAGAAGAGCTCAAAAGAGATGTGAAATCCGGGAGCACATGTCTGAGTCAGCATGCATACCTAGGATAACTTCTTATTTGGGGTGTGAAATCAGCGTGAAGTTCTGAAGCTTCTGTGTGAGAGAAAATATCTACTAGATCTTAGTACACTGCCTTGTTATTTCAGCAAAAATAAATAAATAAATAAATAAATAAATAACGAAAAACACCTGGTTAAGTCAAATGACAAAGATCTGAAGCATCTAGCTTTCTGCTTTTCATATGGTGATGTTGCTGAATCTAGGCAGGTGCGCTGTCAGCTAGTACAGGGCATGCAGTGCACAACGGTTAAACCAGCCAGAGAGGTCTGGTCTCACAGAAGTCCAAAGGTAAGGCATCTCTGAGGTGGGAAACTTATGATTTGTCATTTTTATGGACAAAAAGAGCAGCAGCCAACCCAGACATCACATTCTCCTGCACCGTCCTCCAGAGCACTGAAAGAGAATTTTCTTTGTCTCTTTTCAGGAGCTGTAAAACCCTTCTCTCTGCTCCCAGAAGGCCCTAAAATGCCCTTTCCTGGAAACGCGCTGCATGGCAGCATCTAAATGAAGCACTGATAAAGGATGAGCCTTCT